CACACCCTCCATCCTGCCATCTCCCATCCCCCACAAAGTCCAAAGCTTTGATGTTGTATGATGTTTGTTTAATAATATGTTTTTGTTGGGTGGCTCTCAAGTCAGTAACCTCAAATGGAATGACTGGCCAACTCCAGGCTAGCACTTGTGAGTGTGCCTTGGCGGACGTGCACATGGTGAGCATTGTCGACCTTAATGTGCCCTTTGCAAAGGCAAAGGAAAATATGGATGAGCTCTGCCGCAGCATCCAGTTTGTCAACGACCTCCAGCCAGCCACTCACTGCGCACTGGTGGAGATCCCGCAGATAGCAAAGAAGTGTAGCCGCCGAGGTTTGGCAGACGAGGAGATGGACTTACAGCAGAAGCTTTGGAGCCTTCGCCAGGTTTGCGACGACCGTTGGATCCTCCCCTTCGACGTCCAACCAAGCGCTGAATCCAAGACGGGAAAGCCACTTGGCTGGTAACCCACAAGTTTGTCTTTTGGTTTGATTTGGTGGGTCCTTCCCATTGGTTGTCTCGGTAACGGTCTTGATTTGCCCAACTCAGGCGCTACCACCAGGGCCGCATTGTCATTAACAAAGACGCGGAGGAGGGCAACTGCTGGACTCAACACTCAGAACTTGGGACAGCAGGACGGCCCCTGTCGCAGGAGAGGGTCTTGATGCCACTGTCAAGGGAGTTGGTGCTACCTGAGTCTTTGGATGCAGATGATGGCATTCGGGTGGCAGAGAGACAGCGTCCAAGCCCTGAAACAGTGGCAGCCCAGAAGGGCAAGGCCAGATGGATGGTCCTCCTGCGCAGCCTTTGCAGCATGCAAGGGTACGACCTCGCCAACAAGCCGGTTATTGTGGTGAATTTTACAAGCTATGTGGAGGATCTCGGATGTGCGGCTGCTTGACAGAGATTGCAAGACTGGTCCTGGTGTTTCATTTGGTATTCAAAGTAGTAGATAGCATGGATGGCTGACTTTTAGATGGGCGTTCTAATCAAATGGGCGTTCAAACCATATCATCCGTGTCATGCCATCGTGATGTTTATGATGGTTACGATGGCGATGATATCTGATGAGGTCAATGATGGATGGTGAAGTAGGGAATGGGTATGTCTTGGCTTCATGGGCTTTATTATTTGGAAGGGTCTTCAATTGGATGTCCTTTTTGTTTGTAGCTGTCCATTGAGCTGTTTCCACTCTGAAATGCTGAGTGGTTGAGCCAAGGCGAGGTGATGTTGTGAGGTAGATATGTCCTGTGACAGAATGCTGTTCAAACACCACTGCCCCCCAGGCTTTTGAGCTACGCTTGGCCCAGGAGGAGCTCCCTGGAGGCTTCAACACGCACAATCTGTTCTACCACTCAGTTTCCTGGCTTGGGAAGGACCAGTATGGAGCTGCCCGCCTCCTCCGCAAGGTGGCAGATGCTTGGGTGGGTCAGCGCTTGGTGCACTGTGGCCAAAAGTTCAGCAAGGATGAGCCATCCCTCTCACCAGCAGAGATCTCTACAATCCCTGGGGCATCTTCAAGCATGGCAGGGTTGGACAGTGTGGCATTCACTGTGCTGGAGCGCAAGGGCTCAAAAATGCACATAAAGTCTGACGAAGATACGTACTGGTCTTCGCAGTTGGGTCCTTTGGCAGAGGAATATGCCAAGTTGAAGAAGCATCACCAGTCCTTGCTGGACAATGAGTGCTCAAAACTTGCTGGAGGAGAGGCTCCACCATCAACTTCGGCTCCAAGTTCTGCGGCTGATGCCGTGCCTGTTGAGAATGGAGAAGAGAGCAGCTCAAACTCAAACTTTGAGACTGTGGACAGCTTGGACGCCTTGAAGCAGAAGTACGGCATCTCGCATCAGGTCCAAAGTGAATGCAGTGGTGTCGAGATCTTGGTCGCCAAGGACAACAGCCTGTGGCTGTACGCAGCCAGTGAGAACAAGCTGGTCCCAAAGAATTCACAGCTTGGAGGGTATGGAACAGGGCAATATGTGCCCACAGCCAATGAAGAGAAAGGAGTTGAGTTTAATATCACCAGCGACGCAGAAATCATCCAGCTGGACATGGCCACGTTCAGGACTGATGGCACCGGCATTTCCACATTGACCATGTACAAGATGCTGTTGATGGCAGAGCAGGAGAAGAACGCCACAACTCTGGCAGTCTCCTGGCTGAAGGTGGCGAGGAAACCAGATTTGGAGGCTGGCCAGGACGGCTTCCTTATCTCAGTGAGAACGGCAATGAAGTTTTGTCGGGTCAAAGCTGGTGATGATGCCAACAAGGTGACCTGCAAGAATGTTTTTGCACAGCACATGGAGGCAGTGAGTGCTAGCACAGCAGTTGGCAAATGCTTTAGGTTTAGGTATGAGCGGGTCGGAGGGGCCTTTAAGGTCCAACGACCCTATGTCATAGCCCGTGTTGGAATCCAATTGCACAAGGGGGTTCCACTCAAGATCTCATCCTGAGAGGAGGGCTGCGCAATTGAACATGTTGTTTCAATTTTAATGGCTTCACTGGGTCACTGGCTAGCTCCAATTTGCTTTAAGTGATCTTGCCGCGCAGATCCCCGCTGGCTGGATGTGAGAAACCTTTAGATCCAAAGTTGCGCAGAAGAGCCATGCCAATTTGTTTCCATGCTATCCTGCAAGCCAAAGCCATGTGTTAAGCAACCAGTAGACTAACGCGACCATGTGCAAATCATCTTGCTACGCACGGCTCGCAGCACAGGACGCAACAAGTTTTGACATACCAACATTGATGCTTGGATCTTCGCAGGGTCCAGCCATAGCCGTTTGTATTGGGGCTTCTTGCTTGCAGCCAAGCAAGCTGTGTGCATTAGACTGGTTTGTACTGATTTGGCCCAGGTCTGAATACTAGTTTCTATTCGTGTGAGTGGTGAGGTGAGGCAACATGTTGGCTTGCAAATTGTCAAAAGGTTGGCCAGATCATTGGGGTTGACAAACGATCGGCTAAAGGCCTTGTGTGGACAAGTGAAAGCTGCTAGTTGAGCAAAATGCCCAGTGAATGGATGGAAATAATTGTTTAGGTTTGTTTTCAAACAACCTTTCATTTGCCAGTTTGTGTTTCTGCTCTTTCCATGGTGCCTGACTTGCTCCACTTGGTAGTTTGCCACTGGTTTGAGTCCAAAAGGGTCGAGGGCAGCACTGAGTCCAGCTGTGAACATTCCCCACATGGCGTCTCGGCAGCTCGACCGTCTGGAAGTGGAGGACTTTTACAATGCCTTGGTGCGTGTGTATGGTGAAGCCACCCTGATTGAGAAGACAGACTTGGATTTGGAGGTCTGCCGAGAGCTACTGTTGAAGTTGCACAGCAATGGTGTCTTTCGTGGATTCGATGAGCATTTTGACACCATCACACTCGGAATCCAGCTTCTCACAATTCTCAGGAACCTTGCCCGGCATCCTGTTTTGGAGGAAGCTTGGGTTGGGAAAGGTGATGCTGCTCCACCACCTTCCAACCAGGTAGTTCAGGGCTTCAGAGAGCGCTTGGAGAGATTGGTGCCCAACAGGCAGCAAGCCCAGCTTTTTCACTTTGAGACGAGGCTGTCTATCAAGGCCGTGTGGGAGATCCTGGGAAAAACCAGGGACATGGATGTCATTAAAGGCTCGTTCATCCATGAGCTGCTGGAAGAGATGTGTGAATTTCTGAGAGCGCTTCAATCGCGCATAGTGCCAGAAGGTAGGAACAGCCTCATAATTTGAAATTAGGAATTTGGTGCGATGAGTATCCAATTCAGGATAGCGCAGACTTTCTTGAAGCAGATAATTCACAAAGAAAGAATGCCAGCTGTGAAGTTAAAGCAACATTCGGTCAGTCATGATCAGTCACATTGTGCCACCCTTGGATTGACATTGTTGTGTACAGATAGCCAAGCAGGTCCAAGAATCTATCTCAGTTTTTTTTCCGTGTTTTTTTGTCTGTGATCTGCAGATGGCAATGTCGTTGGCTGGAGCTTTGGGTGTTGATGTCCAGAGTATCATCATGGGTGGGTTCCAAAATTCATCCTCCACTCTCCAGACTCCCCGTCGACTTCCTGGTACCCCGGCCACAAATTCTGAACAGCGAAGCAGTGGGCCGAGTGGCGGAAGAGTGCTAGCGGAATCTCCAGAGCCTACCCCTCCTGCTGAAGGGAAAGAAAAGGGTCGCGGTCGTGGTCGTGGCCGGCATGGTCGTGGCCAGAGTGGTGGTGGCCAGAGTGCTCGTCAGGGCAAAGGGCGTGGGCAGGGACGTGGGCGTGGGCGTGGTCTTGGAGGCCAGGCATTTGCTGGTTCAACGTGCTGGGTGGTTTCATCACAATCGTTGTTTCCTAGCTGCTCAAATAATGAGTGGTAAATTTTGTAAAACTTTACCAGTTTACCAGATCTCAGGTACGAAGATGAAGCGGCCTTCATCAGATTCCAAAGCTGGGCCACGTGAACCTTCACCGATGAAACGACCAGCTGGGTCCCCATCAAATCCTTTGTCGTTCAAACACCAGGAGTGGGAGCGGGACGAGGAGGAGGAGATTGCCGAGACTGCAAAAAAAAGTTTCAAGCGCTGCTGCTTTGCCCGTCACGGCCAATGATGGTTCAAAGCCTTCGAGTGGGAATCTTTTCAAAAGACCATCTACTAAGGCAGCTCCTTCAACTACAGGTGGTAAGACGCGGAACAAACTTCTCCGCACGGAGACATATGGCGAGTGGAAAGTGGAGTGGTATCAACGTGGATCTAGCACAGGATCATACCCAAAGTACTATGCTCCAGATGGGACAATTTTGTGGGCAAAGACTCAAGCCGAAAAGTATGGCTTTAAGTCAGACTGAACCAGCGATTTAGCGATGGAAAGAAATGAGAGTGCTGATAAAGGGTTGATGGAGTGGAGGAAATTGAAAGAATAGACAGAATGGAAAGAACCAACTTTTATGAAAGAACTATCTTTTGTGAAACCTTGTTTTAATCTTAATACATTATATCCCACAAGTCAGATTCGAACTGCCATCAGTGAGACGCCTGAGGCGAAGTACATGAAGTATTGCAACGACTGCCCCTTCGTTTCCCCCGCGAAGGCCGCTTTGCGCGCCCGCGCGCCGAAGAGAATTGGCAGGTTGGTCGGTGTGCACTCAATCACAGGGTTGTGCAAGAACTTGGATGTGCCGCGCTGCGTCAAGCTCTGTCTTGAACAGGGGATACACTGACTGGATATTGGCAATCCTTGAGTGGGTCAGGTTGCATGGTTACCCGCTTCTGCCGAAAGCCCAGACACGGGTGAGAAAGTGATTGTTGGATCAAGTGATCAAGAGTGTGGTTTTTGGAACGGTTCATGAAAAGGAGATGTGAAGCCGCTTGCAGAACGCCCTTAGGCGTTCAATTGCCAAGTCAGGCCCAAGGTTCTTTATTGCAGAACTATTTTGTCGGATTGCAAACTGTACAGCATGGGTCATGGGACTTGTACACTAGGCTCGGTTTGTGCAACTGTATACTTTCTTTTGCTCGCCTACTCAGCCCAGTCGATATTCATTGCGACTGGACTTTCTCGGCGAGCGAAAGAAGCTTACACCACTGTACCGCATGGGATGGAAGGCTTTTTGCTTCCAAGCTCATCGAGAGTTGGTGTATCAGTTCATTTGTTCATTGCCTTGCACCGATTGTCATGGGATGTAGAAGACTGTCCCAGCTAGGTCTGCTGGCACAAGTTGCTGACCGTCTTTTGCTCGCCTACTCAGCCCAGTGGTTATTCATAGCAACTGGACTTTCTCGGCGAGCGAAAGAAGCTTGCACCGCTGTACCGCATGGGATGGAAGTCTTTTTGCTTCCAAGCTCATCGAGAGTTGGTGTATCAGTTCATTTGTTCATTGCCTTGCACCGATTGTCATGGGATGTAGCAGACTGTCCCGGCCAGGTCTGCTGGCACAAGTTGCTGACCGTCTTTTGCTCGCCTACTCAGCCCAGTGGTTAGACTCATAGCAACTGGACTTTCTCGGCGAGCGAAAGAAGCTTGCACCGCTGTACCGCATGGGATGGAAGGCTTTTTGCTTCCAAGCTCATCGAGAGTTGGTGTATCAGTTCATTTGTTCATTGCCTTGCACCGATTGTCATGGGATGTAGCAGACTGTCCCGGCCAGGTCTGCTGGCACAAGTTGCTGACCGTCTTTTGCTCGCCTACTCAGCCCAGTGGTTATTCATAGCAACTGGACTTTCTCGGCGAGCGAAAGAAGCTTGCACCGCTGTACCGCATGGGATGGAAGGTTTTTTGCTTCCAAGCTCATCGAGAGTTGGCGTATCAGTTCATTTGTTCATTGCCTTGCACCATTGTCATTCCGTGTTACAGACCGGTCCACCCGTATTCATACTTGGGCTCCTACTCATATTATAATATACTCATGTTTATACCTACCAGTAAAAGTCAGGTAGCATTGGCCCAGACTGCTTAGCAACCGAGGGCATATTCCTGCTTGCCAGTGCAGAGAGGGCCAAAAAGTAGAGTGTTGTTTCTCATCGCTGCCATAGGGATTCCTTTTCCCATCTGAGTCGCGCAAGGTGCGCACAAGTGCCTACAGGCTCTTGCTTGCCTACTCATTCCAGTATTTGTTCATAGCAAGTGGCCTATTTTGCGGAGCAAGAGCATCTTGCACTGGAGTGGAACTGTCCTTGATGACTGTCAATTTGATCGAGTATTGGTGTGCTGTCAGGATGTTCTTTATTGTTTTTCAGCTGTGACCTTGGGTCTTGAAGACACTTGAACACGTTGAAGTCTAGTTCTATGAGGTCGTTTCAGCCCGGGAGTGGTGATCCCAGGTGTGCTACTAACGGACACATCAAAACTCAAAACGTTACATATATGATATAATATCTAATTTATATATACAGTAATTACAGTATATATATACTGTCACCTGGGATCACCACTGCTTTTTTTTTGTTTAACATCGTTTCTGCTCAGCATTTCATCGTGAAACATGGATCCCATCCCCGTCACCTGGGATCCATTCGTTTCGGCATCACGCGTCTTCCGCGTCCCGCGCCAGGAGGTCGGTCTTCCAACGGGTCTCCTCAAGCAGAAGGCCCTCGGCCCTCGCGTTCGCCGCACGGCGCACAGTGTGTGTCCGATCTGTGAGACGGAGAAATCACATGTCTAAAACCATACATTCACACCTAATGATTTCATACATGCCGACGTACATTCTGGGGATTTGCCTTAAGAAGTGTGACACTCTGCTTTAAACAATTGGTTGCTTTTGCCACAGTCCCAAGCACTCTTCGAACATTTGATTTGCCTTCAGGGTCACTGGGAAGAAGACTTGCCGCTGGAAATTCGTTGTGTTTGGTACCCTTGAATGATTTGTCTCTGATTGTCGCAACGATGATGATGATGGTGATGATGATGTCATTTCATTAGCAGCGTTTTGGGTGCGGTGAATATCACGTTTTGGGTGGTCGCTGGAGACATCATCTAATATACATCTGCGCTCGGGACTTGGTGAGGGGGGGTATATAAGTTGTGTTCAGATATAGCGGAAACTTCACAACACAACATTTATCAACGTGTCACCATGGTGTTCTTCAAGACAAATAAGACACACGGATATGGTAGAGTTTTGATAGTAAGCATTTCCAAGATTTGTTAAGAAACTGCATGAATCCCAATCTGATCCAAGTGGGCCCTGAATATCGGTAATCCGACACCGTCCGACACCCCAAACCCCTTCACCCGCGCCAGTGACGCTCGGGTGAACCTCCCGAGTCAGGAGATTGATGAGAAGCGCGCTCGAAAGCAACGTTTGCGAGCAGCATCCTCAGAAGTTGGGTCGAACATAGGTGTCATCAGTGAGACTGTTGGAGGATTCTGACTGTACTTTGTTGTTTTTGCCATGGGCAGGATTCTCTTCATGAGAAATCAGCAACTGTGTCTCATGAAAGAAGTACGTACAGCATGGCATAGTCAATAGTTCTTTATTTGTCCACACCCAAACATCCTTGTCCTATTGTTTGAGTAAACTGACTGCGGGTGATGAGAAGGCTCCCAAACCGAGACCACATTGTGGCAAAGTGAATTTGGACTCTCAAAAGGGAATCAACAGGACCTGTGGACTCTTTTCCTTTTTACTTGGGAATTATATGTTCACACGTCAAGTGTAGTATACAGGGGTATGGCGTATGGACGGATCCAGGTTTTTGATCTTCAAATGACTCGACGGACTGCCTCGACGTGAATTCGTTTCTGGAGTGGGTGGTGGCATCAGTTCTTCAGGACGGTATGATTCAATGATCCCTGGGGGTGGATGTTAGCAAGCTATGAGAAAAGACTTTAAGGAACCAAAGTATTGCGATGGCCTCCAACCTAATTACTAGCGAAGGAAATCCTTGGTATGGGATCAGATGAAGGCGTACCCCTCATCAGTTGCCGGATGCAGATCTCACATGGTGCTGTTGCCCCAGCCCAGTTTGTTTCAGATGCTGAAATTGAACCTACGAAACAACATACGAAACACACCGCCAGGTTACGACAAAAAGAAAACGCACGGCCGCGGTCGTTGGCTTTCCGTGTCGCACCGTCCCCCGGCCCCCCAAACGGACGCTGGTGGCCACCAGGCACGGAAAGAGGAGGCGAAGAAGCGGATGGAGGCAGGGAGATGCACCGTGGGGCCATGCACCTGATCAAGCAAGGTTGCGGGGGAAGAACAAATCCAACCCTCCTCTCAAACAAGTACGGAACCAGGTAGGTCTAGAACACGCTTCCAATCAGTCCCAAAAAAGACACACAGAAGTTTAGTTTGATTTTGGCTCTCTCCAGAAACCCACGAAGGAATGCTTCGAGAGCAACCAATGGTGTAAGGTTCGCCAGCAACGCCAAGGGAGTTGGTGCTGAAGACGTTTACTTCCGCCATCTTCCACCCTACTCCGAAAGATTGGCATAGTACAGACCTTGGCAGGTCAAAACCCAATCCAAACTGCTAACACAGTGATGCTTTTGGGTGCCCAGCGCTCACGGTTTTTGGTGCAACACTGCTCCAACGAGGCACAGCGGGAGGCCAAGGAGCCGGCGGACCGCAGCGAGGAGGCCGCGAAACGAAAAATGGATCCCAGCTAATGGCTCACCAACATGTGCGAGCTAGGAACCCGATGGTAGTCTTTAAAGTTGCATCTGACAGGGTTGGATAGAATATACTGTATATATAAGATCTATATATATATATTATATACTGTTTAAAGTGTTAGAGACATTACCATCCCTTCCGCACACGTACATCAACCCTCATGGGTGTTGGAGAGGTAAGTTTGGATAGCTTGGTCTCACTCACTCCAAGGGGAGCTCTGATTCCAACTTATAGAGTTCACACTGATAGAGAAAGTGACCATCAGGGGGGCAACCTCATAAGAATGGCATCCAACCTAATAGCAATGGCCTCCAGCCTAATAAGAATGGCCTCCAACCCAATAGCAGCCTGCAGGTCCGAATGTGCTAAGGATCCTTCCAATTTGGGATCCAAGTAAGACAGATCCTCAGTGTGTGGGAGTGGATTCTCCAAATCTGCTCACAGCTACCAGCAAAGTTGCTGCTCCTTGAGATAGATGATGATGGATGAGTTTCAAGGTGGTGAATTTCGGGGTTTCAGCATCATCGGCTTGGGGTGGGGGTTCTTATTCTGACTTGGTATGTCGGACAGTATGCTGTCCACGGAAACTGCCCCAGAAGCCCAGACCAGCATCTCGAAGGGAAGAACACCCTGTTCTAGGGTACTTGGGCTTCAAGACAAGCCCTCCTCGCCTCCTCCCCCGGAGCGCTACCAAGGTACCTGAGGACTACAAGCAGGAGGTTCCGAAATCATCCGAAATCGGGTGGGAAACAGGTCTTCAACGGGATCAGTCCAAAAGTGTTCTATCACTCACTGTGTGCTTTTATGGTTCTACAGGCTATGCAGGTTGGGTAGCCTTCCAGAAATACACCTCATTAAATGGAGGATGATCAGTGTGGTAGAGGCAACGGCCAGCATCCACAGTCCACAGTTGCGCCTTGCCCTTTCTCCCGAACAAGTCTCACAACAACCACCAAATAGATCTATATGTTTTGTGAAGTGGCTGTTTGCTCCCTTAGTTTGGAGCTTAGACTTCCTTCCCAAATTGAAGACCACCTTCTGTGTCCCAGGCACATGAAGACTACTTACTATGATTATGTCAAAACATTGCAAGTTATTTCTTACAGTATTTATTCCCTGCTAACATCGTTGCTTTGGGAATGTACAGCGTTTCTTTCGTTCGCTGGTCCAACAATGGAGTGACTATGGATATAGGTAATTTCCATGAACATGAGAGTGTTTGGGCTGTTGGCTTTTGGAGTGGTGTGGCACGCTTTGGGGTCCATAAGCCGTTTCACAGGTTCCAAGGATATCAAGTCCTTCGCACAGAAAGTCTTAGACAGAAGCCTCCGTACCCGTACCTTGTTCTCCAAGAGCTTGTTTTAGCCAGGAGAAGACCAAGATCTACACACGCGAAGAGTTCCATGAAGTGCTCACCAAGGCCGTTTCACTCCGTGTGTTTCCAGGGACGTAACCACAGGATCGTATCGTGAGATTTGAATGTTGGTCAGAGAAGAGTATACCTTGAAACCAATTTCCGCATATCAATTGCCACCTGGCAATTTGTTGACCAAGCGGATGCTTCTGTCCATCAATAGCTGCCTGGTACCATTGCACCATGACTTGGGAGGTAGTTTGTTGGCTTTTCCAGTTGCCACAGCCGCCATCGCCAGGCACTCAAGAAGGGAGAGATCAAATGGGAAGACTACTGATCTTCGCTCGCGACGGCGTCGGATATCGTCGGATGCGGGTGCCACGCAATGAAACACACCTTTGGCGGCAAGGTCCTTTTCATGTCGTGGTGTTTTCTATTGCATCTCTATGGGCATCTGTTGGACCTCTTTCATCCGAGTGGCACCCTTCATCTTCCAGGTTTTGAACCCCCAGACTTTTCGGGGTCGCACCGCAAGTCTTTTCAACTCGGCTGCATCACATGCCGAAGCGGCAGCGGTGCCGGGTGATTCGCCTCTAATGAAGCCAGTTTGGCGAAAGCATGTCCCAGCCATTCTTTTTTGGCACCGACCTTTGAACAGAAACACCCCTCTGCACCCTCAACCCCCGCCTGCGTCATAGACGTCATAGCTCCAGAAATACATATTCCACGGTCGCCTCTTGTTTGTGTTTGAGTGTCAACGAACCTGGGCTACCAGCCTCACGATCCTCACGTGGCGCAATCAAAGAAACATGAAAACAATCAATGAAAACACACACCAGAAAAAACAAAGAAAAAACAAGAAAACACATAAAATTGAAGACCAATGAAAGCGATTATACCCGTTTCTTGGAGATGTTGGGCGGTTTCGGCGTCTCACCTGACCTTCGGAGAATGGCGGGGCGGTTTGGGCGACGCACCAGACGGAAGCCTGAGGAGAAAAAGGCGAGGGAAGCACCAGATGGTTTGGTGCTCCATAGTGAGTCTATTCTGAAACGACCTCAAAAGACTTGCACCTACAAATACCTTATAATTATCTAAAATCCTCTTAAGGATATGTTGGGCGGTTATTGTGGCTGGTTGTGGTGATAGAACACACATGAGAGTGATTCCAGGAACCTTCGGGATTGTCGAAACCTCTCCATTCTCCCTTTCTGTTGTTTGATCAGAGACACGACGGGCTCAGACTACCTCAAGCCATCTCCCTCGAATCCCTCGACTGGTCTTTTAACATGTACATGTTAGCACTAAGTGACTAAGCTAAAAGGAATCACCCTTGCTGGAGGTGTAGTTTCACGCTTGAACACCTCAACCAGCTCTCCCTGAGTACACCCCCCCTACACCTCCTGGCACTTCACCCCACCTGCCAGCGCCGGCCGCTTGCAAACTTCTCCATCTTGACGCCAGCGAACGCCGTCGGTGGGCCCAGAGAGGCCCCACGGAGAGTGGGACTTGGGGCCCAAGGGAAGAGTGAGTGACCGAACATGATTTACCTACAAACAACGGAAAGGAACTCTAGAAAGACTGAGACGTCCTCTACCAACAGGGTCCTATGCCCACTGACCCGTGGGGAGGGCACCCAAACACCCAAACACCCTCGCGGTCAACGATCCGAATCGGGTAATTACGGCCAAAGACCCGGGGAGCTCTCCAAGAAGAGTGGCTGACACAAAGTAGGTGACCAACCACAACGGCGGCACACATAAGTGTTCTTTTTCACCATCCAGGTGTTAAATGACCCAGTCAAGCAGAGTCGACACCATGTACTGTAACGTGATCTTCCGAAAAATCACTCGCGAAAGTGGCTTCAACCACTTCATACAACCAACACTTGAGACATTGAAATAGCCCCTACTGCTCAGCAGTTTAGTATTGGCATGCACCTTAGCACTACTACTAATGATTTTAATGCATTCCACCGCTGGGTGCATGCACCTTAACACCCAATGAAAGTATTGTCATGCATTCCTACCCCACTTCCATTGGGACCCAGATGAACACGTGGAGCGTTGGAGCCTTTTTGGATCCAAGCGACCACCGCTTGGATCGCTCAGGCTTGCGTGCCCTTGCAACGGTCTCCGCGCTCCTCAAGCAAGGAGGAGTCAAGCAGGGAGCACGGAGCAGGGAGCAAGAAAATAGATGGTATTGTTTGGGAGGTATTTTCGCTGGTGGTAATTTGGATGCAGTCACATCCTGTATATAAAATTCAATTGTTTGAGGCGCTCGTCAAGCGTACGAGAGTCTCACTGGTCAACCATTCACAGAACTCTAGGGAGGAGATTCGGAGATAAAAATTGTCCCCACAGAGTGCCACCTATCACTGGACAGGTCTCATGATACCTGACACCCTGTGGCTGAGGTTCCGGTTGTTCAGATTTCATTATACATACATACACGATATCATACATATATATATATAGTTACCAGCACCTTCCAACAGGTTTGCTTTGGAGGGTTGGGAAAGGCCCTGTCACAGGTTTCCATGGGTGACCTGGTTTCAGTCGGTGCTGGTATTGGTTTGTCTTCATTGTTCGTACATTCCGCCGTCTCGGAACTCTCTGAGTCTGGTGCCAGGACACCCCCGCCGAGGGGACGGAGGTGCGGACTGTGAACGAGTGTGAACGAGCGTAGCATCGGAGGAAGGATGCGAGTTGTCATACCATGTGTTGTTTTATGTGTTTGTTTTGTTTGTTTTTGCCCACCTTTATTAAGTGGAGACCACCTACTCTAATGAATTGTTCCTAGGCAAACTAACAGTGCTTACTTGTAGAGTTTGTTTGGATCTTTTGGGGCTTAGCACGACTTGAAAAGACTTCTCATTTTTTTACTTTGGTGATTCTCCCACATGTCAAGGAACACCCTGGATATGCAGCTCCCCAGATGAATGCGATTACTATATAATATATTATAATATATATATATATACAGCGAATCATAAGCAGGGGACGAAGAGATGTCGGGTTCTTGCACAACATCAATGAGAATCAGCACTAATTTGTGGTCTTCAACCCTTCGTTCCTAGGACAGAATTGAAAGAAGAATGCGTTAGACATGAAGGATAAACATGACTAGCAGCTCTGGGGCAACTCAATAATATATGCCCAACATGTGGGGAAATTTGAGATGTCCCAGAGCTGCTAGAAATCACTAGAACATACTAGAACATTATGACATTTGAGGAGGTTCTTTTCTAGATTAGCTTTTAATAGGGCTTCTGTCGTTCTTCCCTGAGCAACTTGAACAGCCTTGCCAGGAAGAGGTGAAGGAGACCTATGTGGCTTGGGCGAGCTTGCCATGGAGATGGGGTGGGCATGTCTTAGATGGTCTGGAAGGTACTAGGTACTGAGTGTTTAGTTAACCCCCTACCAAATGAACGATCACACCTTCACATGTTGCTCAGTGGCGCCAGCCTCCCTCACCGGTGCGTTCATCGGGCGTTCGATGTCTCGAGCGGAGTTGAGTCTAACATCCAAAGGGTCGGTGGACACGTCTAACGGGTGGAAGAACACGGTGGGGGGGGGTTAGCCACTGGTTCGACCTGAAGGTTGAATTGATGTTGATCTACCAGGACTGCCCAATGGAAGCCTATAGGTAGTGTGGGGTAGTCCATTGGACACGCCGACAGGAGGGTCCATGGTATGTTGATCTTTGTTTTCGTGTTTGAATCAAATCTGAGCCTGGAGACACGAGGCACCTCCAGGCACTGTGCTTGGGAGCCACTGCCGACATCATCGAAGGGACCAACGGACCCGCGCGGCACCGCCAGACGAGCGAGACTCGATGGATCGTGGAGCCCCAGTCAGAGCTGCGGCTGCTGGTTGGGGATGCCCAGATCTGAAGATTCGGAAGTTTGTGGCACTTTGGAGCACCTGGTAAACCACTTGGTAAACCCTGGTGCTTCGGGTGATTCTTTAGTGCACCCAGGATTGGGCCCTGCCCATCCCGGCCCTATTTAGAGGGAATCGACGGTTAATTTAGTTGGTACGTGTTTGATATGTTCTAAGTTCCTTAAGCAAGTCACAGAAACTGTAGCATGCTGTAACCAAATAACCCAGCGAGCCACCTGTGTAGGTGGCACAATGACCCTGTTTGACAAGCTGCAAAGATGGCTCCGCGTGCTAAGCCCACTAATCACCCCGGGGTTGTCTAGTCTGAAATCAACTGAAATCGCTGTAGATGAATGCTATTTCATCTGTTTTGACATCATGGAAGAGGGTTCTGAACCAAGATTTAAGTGGTTCAAAGTTGGACCTTGGTGATCATCGGGGTGCAACAAAACAGGCTTGTCCAGCTGTTTGAAAGAAGTGTTCAACTCCTTTCATGCGCGCTTTTGAGCTTTGCTTCCTCAATTCAATTGACGTAGCGGCCGCGAAGCCGACGTAGCAGCACCGACAACTCAAGAAGTGGCCCAGAATTAGATCAACAGGGCCGAACAGGGTCGTGCTTTGTAGGTTATAGGTTGATGCTCCAAGATGCTGCTACTGTACCGAGCTTTTTGCATTTGCAAGGTGCCTTCTTTTGAGATATATTTAAAGGCTTACGCCTGACAGCCTGAAGGAAAGAATAAGGGGATTGCATGGTATCTCTTTAGCTTTGGTTCTTTGGCCTCTCTCTTTGTCTCTCTTTTCGCACCCTGTCAGACCTTACCGGGCCAATGTTTCGGGTGCTTCTTGTAGGAAGGGGAGCAGAATCACAAAATGCTAGTAATGCAGCAGTGCTCAGTAAGCCAAACTCGCACCACAAGCCGCTGAAACCGGACAGCGTCAACAACGTGTTTCAAAACTGTAATAACCGGGACATTTAGTGGGTTGGGGCTGGGGGTGCATGCCTTAACCTTCGGTAAACCAAAAAGTTAACGAAGGGCCGGGGAAAGACACAATGCCGGTGCCCAGAAGTTCATTAATGCTGGAGAATGACAACGTCACATTCCTCAGACAACCTAACAAGAGTGAAAGGAGCCAAGCAAGAGCAAATGGAAGCCTTAGATTCTAAGCACGAGGTGGGTCCTGCGCTGGTCATTTGTCTACAAGTGTGTACGTTGCAGAAGCGAAAGTCGGAAGATATGTTGCAGTGTCCTCGGCTGGAGCTATGTGATGTTTTTTGGGTGTGCTCCAATGCCCGAACACCCCAGGCGGTTTTGCTGACAGATGCTGACAGTGACCCCTGAAAGACCCAGCTGATCCAAGATGGCAGTCCCATCATCCAGGTCCGTAATCTGGGGATGACACCTGACACCGAGCGAACTTCTCGCCGACGAAGCTGTGCCCTTTTCTTCAGACC